AGTTTGGTTCATGGTGGCTCTGACATCTCGTTTCTGTACTCCACAGCGCAGCTCCTACCTGTCATTGTTCTACTCATTTTTATGACACTTTTAAAAAGTCTTAACGTCACCTTGCACAAACTTGTACACTTTTACTTCATGTAACAATTTGTTTGGCTAAGGGATGCTTCAGGATAGTGTAAGGAGCATCTATAGGCATGTAAATACTTAAGGCTACATTTAAATTTTAGTACACGTCCATGCTGGTACATGTACGTGTACGTGTAAATGTTGTTTTCAGTGAGACATTTTGTTTGTCGTCCATCACATTATTCTGGGCAAACCTTCTCATTTACAGTAGTCCGGTCACGACAGCATCCACTGTGTACCTGTCTCGCTCTGGCTGTCTTCACTCAATCTGCAATCCGCATCCCTGAAATATGAGACAGGGGCTTTGTGGACTCAAGAGTCCAGTGTCCAAAGGCCAAACGAGGGCATAAATTATGAAATTTATGTGGGAGATACACTGTTTAACTGTGTTAAACGGCAAGGTCTCTATGTACATGTAGCAAACATGTAATGTTCATGTACATGTACAGTACTTCAGTATCATTTGACAGTCTGGTTGTTATTGTTCATTTTATCACTGAGTCATTTTTGTCAGCGGCATATTAATTTGTATTCTCTGAATAGATGATTTACATACCGGTGCATGTATGCATACATGTACCTTGTAATATAAAGCCTGTAAGTTAACAGTTAAATGATGTAACATCCGCTCAAGAAAAGAATTTACGGGTATTTTACAGTTAATATCAAGCTCTGCTTGATGTTTTGGTTTATAGAATTACACCAAAAGTGTGTACATGTACATAAATTTACGTGTATGTTTGTACTGTACATGCACAGTACTTGTGTGTTAGATGGAAATTAGCTGCTAACTGAAGGATTTACTAGATTAGACTGGTGTAGTGCATTTCATTGGTACTTAAAACAAGGAAATTCAGTCTTTGAAAAATGTTGGTTATGGTTCAGCAAAGGCAGAATAACTTGTAAGATTGCAGAGGAAGGAAACGCTGACCCGCCATGTGCATAATTTTAGTCATAGAGTTTAGTCCTGTGTGGCTTCCTGAATGAACGTCAAAAGAACATGTATTGTGTTAAAATTGGGAAAATTGGCTTGATTTTTGGTGTATTTACTCACTATCAAGTATTAAACCTAGAAGGATGTGGTGAAGCATGCGTTAACACTGACATTGTGCACGGAACCCACAAATTTCTACATGTACTATATTGTTTCTAGGTGATATGTGTAGCTGAATAAATACTGAATGATGACACAAAGTTTTCATCCAAACTAAGGCACTAATTTATTTGATCGTGTTCTGTTTTTGACGTCAGGTTGTACATGTATGTACCTGTATGTTTAATTGATTTACCGTACAGTACATGTATGTATGAAGGACGAGCAGAGATATTATGCGTACAAGGTTAACCAGTAATGACTAGTTAAATAAATCAGTTTAATTTCTCATTTATATCCAACTGTTGTTTCGGAGTACTTAAATTATTCTTAACGCAATCATAGAAACATTATTTTGAATGAAAACAAGTTGTCTTAGATTCTTTTAAGAGGGTACCAGTCACTCTGGGCCGTTAAATGAATGTGATTGGTCAAGGCAGGATGGAATGAGTTTCAAACCATAATTCTGATTGGTCAATAGTATTATTGTGATAGCTTTCTGGCATTCATGATTATAGCCCAAGACAAAAAAACTAATGTTTCTGGAAGCCACAAGAAGATCCTACTTAAGGTATGCACAGTCATTTCCATGGTTCACGTATTTTTTTGACCTGGAGGGAGGGTCTGTTCATGGAAAGGGGAGGGTTAAAAAATCAACATTATTTACTAGCGCTCAGAGGGTCTTATGATTATCATTTTCCTTACGTTTTTCTTGCTGAGAATTTCCACAGCATAAAAACTGATTCTTTTTCCCCTTGAAAATAAAGGTCGCTCTGAAATGAGAAACGCCGTTATCTCAGTAAACATTGAGTACATTTCCTATACATGTCCATTGTGTACATGTATGTCAGTCATACGTCAAGCGAAAAAAAACATGCCAAATGTCATTTGTACCTGCACAATATGTGTGCATGTAACGGTACCTCATTTCCTTGATTGGGAAAATGTTGATCACAATAAAGATCTGACGGGCTTCAGCCAGCACTCTCCAAAAGCCCCAGTAAATGCTGACGTACATGTATTAGCATATGCCTGCCTGTTGATGGCTGATGGGAGATTGCACTGTGTCCGACATGACACACCACCCCAAAGCTGCCTTGTGCAGTTTCCATGGCAATCTACGGTAATTTGTAAAACATTGAAAGATCCGGTAATAATCTGCAAGCAGGATGAATTTAGCTGACCCTTTGAGGACTTGGAATGCAAGAGATTGTTTTATCTTTATGAAGAAGATGATGAGAAGGGGTTAATTTAATTTAATTTTTTTAATGTGTATGTCTGTGTTGAGTGCACATGTACACCTGTACATGGACAATGTACCGGTACCATCAACCTTCAGTGTGGTCAAAGAGTCAAACTCTCTTTCTTTTCGATCTGAAAATGGGAGGCAGTTGAAGAAAGAAACAGAATTTTGATTAGAGCTGTATAGCAAATGCCGACCAGTCGCTTGCCAAGTTGCCATACGGGCAAATGTATACTTAACAGTAAAGTGAATCTATTGAGGGTTAGGAAAGTACACAGTTGATTTCAGTTAAAATTGAATTACCTGGAATGACAGTGTAAATTCTCAAATCTAAGGAAACAATCATTTGTTGCTTGTGATAAAGCTAAGAATTGAAGAACACTTTCTTCTTTTCTAAAATATTTCTTGAAGCAAAAAAAAGACGTTGTGTCTACGTACCCACATGGCATACCTTACATTCCTGGACATGTCTTGTGCTTTGCCTCCCACAGCATAGTTATGGGGACATACACTTGACATTTTACCTATTTTGTCGGGACCAAAACATTGTGGGGACTCAGAAATGTCCCCACAACTCGGTGCAAATTTCCCTAACAAAAGAACTTGTCCCCTGAAAGGGGTGAATGCCTGCCCAGTATTACGTGTGGAAATGCACGTAAAATGTGAACTGCTCCATTGTTAACTGTGACAGTACCTTTTTTCTGGTGTGTACAATGTACATGTGCATTGTACAGGATGTGCTTTCTTCCCTGAATGTCTTCCCTCTGGTAATGGATACATATAGATTCAAGAATTTAAAGACAGATTTTTTTTTCAGATGTACGTACATGTAAGTTACAAACAGGGCCCAAATCTACAAGCAAATCTACAAGCATTGCTTTCACTGGGTACCCCTCTACAGTATCCTTTCTAAAGTGTGTTGTAGTATCATTCAATCTTATTTATGTATTTATTAAAAATTTTATTATTGTGTATGGTTATTATGCTGTAGAAATGAAATAAAATCTTGAAATCTTATGTACCAGTTGTTGAATTGTCTCTGCCATGACATGTACAGGTGATGCAGCAAGTATTCCCTATAGCCTTGGCCAGGCCTGGTTGCCCCATTGCCTTGGCCAGGCCTGGTTACCCTATAGAGGGATTTCACATTAGCGCCGTCTGCGCATATCTACATCAAAACCGAGGCTCTCTGTGTTGAACTTCGTCGCGCGCGCCCGCGGAGTCCACACAGTACATGGAGTATCTGGTTCGTAAGTGTGACGCCACTTCAGTTTAAACCATGCCCACTGCACAAGATACACGACCATTGCAGGTACGTTAGTTCGCGGTCAATTGTTGTTATTTTTTCTTTTGACGTGTCGAGTCATCCTGAAAGACTCTTCCACTAAAAATTGCAGCCTTTTCAAGTCTGAATTTAACATACCTTTATGTATTTTGTGTCTTAACTCCTTACTTTCAATCGTCTGATCATATTAAGAATTTAAGCTGACACATACAGCCTCGTTTTCAAACGCGGAAGTGTGCAGATCGACGCTAAAAGCATCGTATTGGGATCCCTCTATTGCCTTGGTCTGGCCTGGTTGCCCTATTGCCTTGGCCAGGCTTGGTTGCCCTATTGCCTTGG